GCCACCCAGGTCCGTGGTCACCACCTCGACCTGATAGACTACTCGGGGCCTCACTCTCATCGCTATATCAAGTGCAAGGATTATTATTATATTATAAACTATTATTGTGTCTCTCTCTTTCACTCTCTATAATATATATACATACTGTAAGCTGTCATATTTCTGCCACTCTTTGTCTGTCACTCTATTATATATACTGTAGCTGTGATATCTCTATCTTTCTGTGTTATATATATTATATCCTGTAGCTGTGATATCTTATCTCTCTGTGTTATATATATTATATACTGTAGCTGTGATATCTCTATCTCACTGTGTTATATATATTATATACTGTAGCTGTGATATCTCTCTGTGTTATATATATTATATACTGTAGTTGTGATATCTCTGTCTGTGTTATATATATTTTATATACTGTAGCTGTGATATCTCTCTGTGTTATATATATTATATACTGTAGCTGTGATATCTCTTTCTCACGTGTTATATATATTATATACTGTAGCTGTGATATCTCTATCTCACCGTGTTATATATATTATATACTGTAGCTGTGATATCTCTATTTTACTGTGTTATATATATTATATATTGTAGCTGTGATATCTCTATCTCACTGTGTTATATATATTATATACTGTAGCTGTGATATCTCTATCTCACTGTGTTATATATATTATATACTGTAGCTGTGATATCTCTCTGTTATATATATTATATACTGTAGCTGTGATATCTCTCTGTGTTGTATACATTATATACTGTAGCTGTGATATCTCTCTGTTATATATATTTTATATACTGTAGCTGTGATATCTCTCTGTGTTGTATACATTATATACTGTAGCTGTGATATCTCTGTCTGTGTTATATATATTTTATATACTGTAGCTGTGATATCTCACTGTGTTGTATATATTATATACTGTAGCTGTGATATCTCTCTGTTATATATACAATATACTGTAGCTGTGATATCTCTCTGTGTTATATATATTATATACTGTAGCTGTGATATCTCTCTGTGTTATATATATTATATACTGTAGCTGTGATATCTCTATCTCTCTGTGTTATATATATTATATACTGTAGCTGTGATATCTCTATCTCTCTGTGTTATATATATTATATACTGTAGCTGTGATATCTCTATCTCACTGTGTTATATATATTATATACTGTAGCTGTGATATCTCTATCTCTCTGTGTTATATATATTATATACTGTAGCTGTGATATCTCTATCTCACTGTGTTATATATATTATATACTGTAGCTGTGATATCTCTATCTCTCTGTGTTATATATATTATATACTGTAGCTGTGATATCTCTGTCTGTTATATAATATAAACTATAATCTCTCACCGCTCTCTGTGATAATATTATAAACTGTGATCTCTCGGTCTCTGACATGATATATATATTATATGAACTCTATTATATACAATATATTGGATGTAAAAACCGGGATTACCTCTCTCTCTCTCTCTCTCTCTGACACTCAGCGTCACGGCCTCCGACTGCGCTCCAGCAACACCACCGCCAACAACCAACCACCGCGGCAAGAGCTGCCCTACTTCCGCCTCCCGCCCACAGCGCCACCCAGCGGCTCCCACTGCCCCACACCACACTGCACCTACACCCCACACACAGACACACACACACAGCCATCCACTGTAACTCCTACACACCCCCACACTGATACACACACACAGCCACACACATACACAGCCACACATACACACAGCCACACATACACTCACACACACACAGCCACACACATACACAGCCCCCCACATACACACAGCCACACACATACACACAGCCACACACATACACAGCCACACATACACACAGCCCCCACACACACACACAGCCACACACATACACACAGGTTCAACTGCCCCTGCTTTACTGCCCTCTTTCTCTTGTTGTATTGCTGTTACCCTTGAAAGCATCTTTAAGTTTTTTTCTTATCTAAAATTTTCCCTGTTAGTTTCTTTGTCTCTTTTTGTTACTTTCTGTATTCCTCCCAGTCTTTCCACTGTTCATTTGCTTCTGTATGACACTGAGGTTAACTAATGTATTTGACATGGTTGCTTCACACCAGGAAGCAACAACAAAAATAAATTATATTTTTTAGGGCCTTTAACGTCAGGAGGACATCCCAAGGCGTGCACAGTGAGGATTTGCATCTGAGCTGGGCATTCAACCTAAATGTCCGGCACTGTGTGGTGTACGTGCCTCACACACAGAAACAAACTGTCGTTGAGACAGTCTGTTATCTTGCGTACTTCCAGGGAAGTAGTGCACATCTTGTCCTCGAAACACTCACGTGATCCTGGGTGTAAACTCATGAGTGTCAGTCCAGTTGTCCCCCACACTTAGCTTAAAAGTTAACCCGTTCACAACATCTATTATGATTCTAACATTATACAAAAAGTGTAAATTCTAACAGCTGAAAGCATGGCCGCCAACTGTGGAGTAGAGGGGACATGCAGGAGACCCGAGCCAGCTGAGCGAAGGCAGTGGATAGTAGGGCAGATGGAAGAAGGTGGAGGTGATGGTGGTGCGGAGCTAGAGTTTTTAATTATTTGGACCTTATTAGGCCACAGAGATTGGCGAGGATGGCAGAGACGTTGGGGTAGGGGCTAAAACTCAGAACTAAGTTCAGCAAAACTTCCTAGTTGGTGCTAAATTTGGCTGTTTTAGAAAACGTGACCTGCAGACGTTCTAGAATTGCTTACACTGCTATATCCCTCCCGATCTACAGCCCTCAAAATGACCCAATGCTTTTCTCACAAGTTGCCCTAATCTGCCTGCAGGTACAGTACTCTATTTTATCTTCACAATCAGGAGATCTATAAGGAAACTGCTTCCAACAGCTTAAGTCACTCTCTGTTCTGCCCTCCTACTCACAGTGACTTATCTGACTTACAATTCTCTTTTCAACTGCCTGTATCATTTATTAGTAATCCATTCATGTTTTCCCTGACTAAAGATCCTAAATCTAGCTGCTACTTGTGTTACTGTTTCTTGTTTCATCCCTCCTACTAATATTCGTTGAATATTCCCTCACAGCACCGCTTTCTTTGTGATCCTAATTGATCCAAAGTACCATAGAAAATGCAGCACAGAAGAAAGCCTTCATGTCTGTGCCGGTGTCAGCTAATTATCAAAGTAATACTTTTAGTTCTATTTACCTGTCCTTTCCCCAAACCCCTGTAGTTGACATTTTTAGATATTTATCTAGGTCCCTTGTTTGTAATACTCCTGGCATTCGTGTAATGTATCCCATCTATCTGCTTCCACTCTTAGATGTTTTTGATTCTCACTTCAGATTCTACCTCTGTTTAATTTGCCTCTGACTCCTTCTCCCCAGCCTCTCCTTTGCTCAGCATCCAACTCTGACCCTGTAAAGCACTCTGAAATGTTGCCATCGTGTTGCCATTTGCTACAGCATCTTTCACATTGGGAGAATGTACCAAAGTGCTTCACGAGATGTAACTGTGAAGTGAAGGCTATGTATTTTGTGGGCAAACGTAGCAGCCCAATTGTGCACTGCAATGTCCCACAGTTGTGACCAATTTTATCTGGGGGATTGTTGGTCAGTATAACGGGAGCGAGGAAACTCTTCTCTTTTCGAGTTGTGCCACGGGATCTTTAACAGGCAAGAACGGAGCCTTAGTTTAACAGCTCTTCTGGAGGATGGCACCTCTGAAGTGCAGCACACCTGACGTGGGGCTTTAACTCACAATCTTCTGACTTATTATAATAATAATAATAGAATCAAGAGTGCTGCCAACTGAGCCAGGCTGATACACTCTAATTGTATAAATGCAAGTTGTTGTTGGATCTCCAGTTCCCTTTTATCATTGCTAAATCTCTGACCCCCTTTTCCCCAATGCTTCTGTTTTTTTTCTTGTTTGTCCCCTGCCACCCTTTTAGTTTAAACCTTCCCCCACAGCACTGCTTACTCTCCCAGTGAGGACATTGGCCCCAGCCCCATTGAGGTAAAAACCATTCATGCTGTACATACCACTCCTGTGCCAGAACTGGTCCCAATCTCCAGGAATCTGAGCCTTTCTTTCCTACCTGAGTTCAATTCCAGACAGGGCGTAAACTTGGGCAAGTTTCCTTACTCCACACAGAGCCTAATAATAATCCCTCCAGAAACCAAAAAACAATAATAAATTGGTCATTTTCAATCTACAACTGTTTGTGGGACATTGCTGTTCGCAATTGGCTGCCGCTTTCGCCCACAAATATACAGTCAATTCACTTTACAGTATATTCTGTGAAGCGCTTTGGAATGTCTAGAAGACGTGAAAAGCGCTATATCAAATGCAAGGATTATTATTATTACATCATCCCTCAAGCCACAAGTTCAGTTTTCATATCTTTCTCTTCCTATACTGGTTCGTACAAAACAATAACAAATCCATGCATTCGATACTGCACCTGTCACTTCAGAAGATCAACTCAAAGCGCCTCACAGGATATAATATGTAGTGACTGTGCCTTTTACAGGTGAATGCTTGTTGGTCAGGACACTTCAATGTCTTCCTGAGCAGGCAGGCAAGTGTTGTCATGCTTTTTGATTGACGACCAGATGAGTGGGAGACTGCATACATCAAGCTCAACATTGCTGAACTTGAGAGCAGTTGGGGGGGGGGGGTTCCTTCAACAACAAAAACAACAAAATTATATTTATAGAGCGCCTTTCATGTCGGGAGGATGTCCCAAAGTGCTGAACAGTCAGGTGTCGTGACCCGAGCATGGGGGAGGGGTGGTGTAGGGTGAGGGAAGGCAGAGAGGTGGGAGGAAGACCAAAGGCACGATCGAAGAGAAAGATCTTGAGACCGGCCTTGAAGAATGCAAGGGAGGAAGCGAGGCAAAGGGACCATGCAATGGAGCTCCAGAGGTAGAGAAGCTGAAAGCCCGGCCACCGATGGTAGGGCGGGTTGGGCGGGAGACATGGAGAAGGCCGGAGCCCGATGAACGGAGGGAGCGGGCAGGTTGGTAGGGAACCGACATATCTGAGAGGGTGAAGAGGTTCCTGGAGCACACACTGGAGATGGTCACCCTGGAGACAGACTGCTTGTGAGGAAGAAAAGTGGGTGACCACTCAGAGGGGATGGAAGACGAGACTGGAGGCAGATCATATAGATCCATTGAGGAAGTTAACTTATAGCACCTCCTCGGGAAGATATCTCAAAGACCTTCCCAGGATTCGTTGTTACGTGTCATGAGTGTGAGATCTGTGGGCGCATACAGCAACGTACTCAGAGAGCGTTGGTGAGTGACCAGAAGCCACTTTATTCAACATTATTAGCCTGTACTCCCCCTTTGTAACTGCCCTCTTGGAAACTCAGCCTCCTTGGGATTTTTGGCATGTCTGTCTCTCACGAAATATAACCTTCTGCTACCTCAATTGAATTGATGTTCCCACATCTCAGAATCTGAAAAAGAATAATTTATAAAAACAATTAAATTGAAAGCAAGATGGTGGAGTATCCTTTGCTCCCCTCCCCCAGCAATTAAAAGAGACTGTTGACAAATTCAATTTCCTAGAATTTTCAAAGGCTCGAGGCTTACCTTCTCAACCTCATTTAGTACATATCCTGTAAATAGAGGGATCAAAGGAGAAAGTTGAGATTCATACCTTGGGAAAGGGCAAGTGAGCATCCGATTAGGCTCTGGAGACTGTGGATCTGTTCATTATATTAGGGTCCCTAGGAGTTTCAACAGCTTTAATAAATTTTTTAAATCATCTTTATTTGTTCACAAACTGCATCCAAACATTTAACTTCCTTTTCTTAAACTGCAAAAACGCAAACAGTTTTTTGAGTTCAAGCAGGCATGACGGGCCAAATGGCCTCCACTGCTGGAAATGTTCATGGTTCTAAGTTTGCTATCGCTGCTATAACCCCTCGTCTAAACTCAAAATCCAAGCTCACTATCTTTTTTTCATTTTCCATTCTGAAAAAGCAAATATCCAAATCTCGGTCGGTTAGGGCACTGGGAGAAGCTCTCCTCTTTTTCAGAGCAGTCACAGGTTCTTGAATGGCCATGTAAACAGGCAGATGGTGTGTACCTGAACATTTTGCTTTATATTTAATCGTTTCCACTGGTGGCCAAATGCTGGAATGTAACCAATTGCTGGAATGTGGAGTCCTGTAGCTCAGTGGTTAGAGCACTCGCCTTGCAAGTGAGACACCTGGGTTGAATTCCAGGCAGAGCGAAACCCTGGGCAAGTTTCCTTACTCCATATGCCTAATAATAATCCCTCCAAAACAATAATAAATTGGTCATTTTCTCCACGACTGTTTGTGGGACACTGCTGTGCGCAATTGGCTGCTGCGTTTCGCCCATAAATATACAGTCAATTCACTTTACAGTATATTCTGTGAAGCGCTTTGAGACATCTAGAAGGTGTGAAAAGCGCTATACCATATGCAAGGATTATTATTATTATCATTATTATTATCGTGTATAAATTGACTGCTGGATTCACCTACAAAGTCACAACCATTTTACACTTTACCATAAATCCTATGAAGGACTTTGAGATGTCGTCCCGACAGTGATATGTGTTGTATCAAAAGTAAAGATCATTATTTTTTAAAACCTGTCAAGAAAATGGCTCTTTGCGCCAACAGTGGGGTTTTATTTTGTTTATTTCCTTGAAGTATTTCATATTATGAAATAGCTTTTTCTTTTTTAGTATTTCACAGATTCTTGGGGGAACAGACTTAACAAAACAGAGGAGAATTGTCAAGCGACCACAATGAGATTGGCAGGTAAGGTGCAAAGCTCCTCATGGTAAACAATTACCCATTAAGCTCCTTTTAACCCTCTCTACCCCCCATCTTCCGTCTCCCCTCCCTTTTCTGTCCCCCTCCTCTTTCTCCCCCCTCCCCCCTCTTCTCTCCCCCCTCCTCTCTCCCCCCTCATCTCTCCCCCCCCATTCTCTTCCCCCCCTCCTATCCCCCCTCTCCTCATTCCCCCTCCTCCCTCCCCCTCCTCTCTCTCACCCCTCCTCTCTCCCTCCATCCCCTCCTCTCTCCCAGGATGTATGGGATACAGGGTGCATCCCTCCAGATGCAGAGAAATTTCCATCGATTTATTAGGTGGAATACATACATCTGTGGAACTCTCGGTGATGGGATTCTGCTGGTGTTGAACAATCCTGCAGCTATCAGGCCAGCAATTTCTTGGCCACTACTTTACTTAAGTTTTGAGTTATTATATGTAAGCGCCCAGAAAAATAACTGACAATTAAGTGCCGAACTTCATTACAGCCCTCTCGATGGAATGGTGTAGGTTTCAGCCAAACCTGCTGTGCACTAATCTTTTCAATGTTGTTTTTGTAGCCACAAAACTTCAAGTATAATATTGAAGGACACAATTAAAATGCTAACAGTAAAATTAATTAATAATTAGCCTTGGAATTAGATATTGCAACTTACCCGTTCAAAGAGTCTCAACGCTCTTCACAGAGTAAAGGTCTTGTGAAGCGTCATGACTATTTAGGCACTGTTCCGCAAACATCTATTTTATCCGGGGAATTGTTGACCAAAAACTAATAGGTTAGGAGAAATGTGATACACATTCATAGAATCATAGGATTGTACAGCACAAAAAGAGGCCATTCGACCCATCGAGTTTGTGCCGGCTCTTTGAATAGAGCAATTAATGTCAGTCCCACTCCCCAGCCGTTTCCCCATAACCCTGCAAACCCGTCCTCCTCAAATCCCCGTCCACCGCGTTTTTAAAAGTAGTTATCGAATCGGCCTTGACCACCCTTTCAGGCAATGCGTTCCAGATTCGAACAACTTGCTGCGTGAAAAAATTTCTTCTCGCCTCCCCTCTGCTTCTTTTAGAGACTATTTTGAATCTGTGACCTCGAGTCACCGACCCACCCACCAGTGGAAACTGTTTTTGCTTTCTAACCTATCAAATCCCCTCATGATTTTGAAGATCTCTATTAGGTCTCCTCGTAACCTTCTCTGCTCCAATGAGAATAATCCCAGCCTCTCTAGCCTTTCCTCATAATCAAGGTCCCTCATTCCTGGTACCATCCTTGTAAATCTCCTCTGCACCCTTTCCAATGCCTTAACATCCTTCCTATAGTGTGGTGCCCAGAACTGGGCACAGTATTCTAACTGAGGCCTAACCAGTGTTTTATATAGGTTAATCATAACCTCCTGACTCTTGTATTCTATGCCCTTATATATAAAGCCTAGAATCCCATTTGCCCTTTTTACAGCCTTATCTACCTGTCCTGCCACCTTCAAGGATTCATTTACCTGCACCCCCAGGTCTCTCTATTCTTTTACCCCCCTTAAGATTGTATTACCAGCCTATATTGCCTCCCCTCATTCTTTCTACCAAAATGCATTACTTCGCATTTCTCTACATTGAAACTTATCTGCCATCTGTCTGCCCATTTTACCATTCTGTCTATGTCTTCCTGCAATTGGCTCCTATCCTTCTCACTGTTGACTACCCCACCTAACTTTGTGTCGTCCGTAAACTTGGAAATGGTGCTTGCTATACCCAAGTCCAGATCATTTATTTATATTAAGAACAACAGTGGTACTAATACCGATCCCTGGGAACGCCACTGTACATTTCCCTCCAGTCAGAAAAGCAGCCGTTCACTACAACTCTCTGCTTTCTGTCTTCCAACCAGTTCTGGATCTATGCTGCCACTCTCCCTTTTATCCCATGGGCTGCTATCTTTCTTACAAGTCTTTCATGTGGCACTTTGTCAAATGCCTTTTGAAAGTCCATATAAACTGCACTACCTTCAGCCACCCTCTCCATTACCTCATCGAAAAATTCTATTAGATTTGTTAGACAAGATTTGCCTTTAACAAATCCGTGCTGGCTGTCCCTAATGTCCATATTCTTCTAAGTGAAGATTTATTCTATCCCGGATTATAGTCTCCAGGAGTTTCTCCACTACTGATGTTAAGCTGACTGGCCTGTACTTCCCAGGTTTGTCCTTCTGTCCCTTCTTGTACAGGGGAGTCACATTGGCCACTCTCCAGTCCTCTGGCACCACTCCTGTGTCCAACGAAGATTGAAAAATTGTAGCCAAAGCTTCCGCTATTTGTACCCGTGCCTCCCATAGTAACCTTGGTTGCATTCCATCTGGACCGGGCGACTTATCTACCTTCAGCGCAGTCAACCTTTTCAGTACTTCCTCTTTGTTTACACTTATCCTATCCATTTCCTCTACCCTCTCCTCCGATACTGCGGCACTTGGTGCATCCACTTCATTTGTGAAGACAGATGCAAAGTACTCATTCAGGACATCAGCCATGCCCTCTGCCTCCACAATAAGATTTCCTCCTTGGTCCTTAATTGGCGCCACCCTACCTTTGACTAGCCTTTTTTCCTTGATATGTTTGTAAAATATTTTAGAAATACCTTTAATGTTACCCGCTAACCTTTTTTCTTATAATCTTTTTGCTCCTCTTATTTCCTTTTTCAAACCTCTTCTGCACCTCCTATTTTCGATTTGGTTGTCTTCTGTATCTTGGGTTTGACATTTGTCATACGCCTCCTTTTTCTGTTTCATTTTAGATACAATTACCTTCGTCATCCACGGAGGTTTGGAAGCCCTACTTTTCCCTTTTGTGGGAATGTATTTATTTTGTCCCCGAGCTATCTCATCCTTGAAGACTTCCCACTGCTCTTTAGTTGTTTTACCTGCCAATCTTTCTTTCCAGTGCACCTTGGCTAGGTCCCTTTTTAACTCACTGAAATTTGCCCTCTTCCAGTTGAATATCTTTACCTTAGATGGTTCCTTGTCTCTTTCCATATGCACTTTAAATCTAATGATATGATCACTATTTCCCAGATGCTCTCCCACTGAAACCTGCTCCACTTGTCCTACTTCATTCCCCAGAACTAGATCTAGCACTGCTTCCTTCCTTGCTGGGCTGGAAACGTACTGATCAAGAAAGTTGTTGTGTATGCATTTTAGAAATATTTCCCCCTCCTTGCCCTTTGCACTTTTGTTTTGCCAGTCTATGTTGGGATAATTAAAGTCCCCCATTATCACGACTCTATTGGCCTTGCATCTGTCTGAGATCTGCTTGCAGATCTGCTCATCTATTTCCTTCCCACTATTTGGTGGTCTATAGTATACCCCTACCAGTGTAACCGCTCATTTTTTGTTCCTTAACTCTAACCAGATAGATTCTGTTTTGGGGCCCTCCAGCATCTCAACCCTTTCCACGGCTATAACCGTATCTTTGACTAACATTGCCACACCCCCTCCTTTTTTTTCCTTCCCTATCTCTCCTGAATACATTATAGCCAGGAATATTCAGCTCCCATTCCTGTCCTTGCTTGAGCCAAGTCTCTGTTACTGCTACTACATCGTATCCCCCTATGATCACTTGAGCCTGCAGCTCACCAATCTTGTTTGCTAAACTCCGTGCATTTAGGCACATGTACTCCAAGACCGACTTGACCTGTTCTGCGCTTCCTCCCTGTTTTATTTCTCCAGTTTCTAACTCTTCGTTTTTTGCATTCCCTTCCCCCCTCAAAACTAGTTTAAACCCATAACAGCATTAGATAGCCTGTCTGCAAGTACATTTGCCCCAGCCCTGTTTAGGTGCAACCCATCCATATGATATAGGTCCCACCTGCCCCAGAAATTGTCCCAATGATCCAGAAACTTGAAGTCCTCTTTTCTGGACCATTTCTCCAGCCAAGCATTCATATGCTTGATCCTGCCATTCTGGTACTTATTTGCCCGAGGCACAGGGAGCAATCCAGAGATCGCCACCTTGGATGTTCGATTCTTTAGTATCTTCCCCAGCTTTTGATATTGACCCTGTTGAGTCTCAGCCCTTTTTTTTACCAATATCATGGATCCCCACCTGGACCACCACTTCTGGATGTTCTCCTTACCCCTGAAGAATTTTATCCACCCTTTCTGCGATGTCTAAGACTGTTGCACCAGGGAGGCAACATACCATCCTTGACTCCCGGTCTTCTGTTTCAAAAACGTCGGTCTATACCTCTCACTGTTGTATCCCCTATGACAACAGCATTACTCCTGTTACCTATGTCCCCCTGTTCCACCAATTGGTTTCGACTGTCCTTCCTGGAGATATCCACATTCTCAATGTTCAGTACAGAGTACTGGTTTGAGAGTGCTACACTATTGGGGGCATTCTGCCCAGCCCGTCCCCTCTTCCTACCATGCCGGACAGTCACCCAGTCGTTTTCCGTCTGAACCTTCGGTGTGTGGGGTGGGGTGACCACCTCTTGAGGTGTCTGGTCCATCAAATACTCACATCCGTAAGTAGCTAGGATATGGCATACTCTCCTGGAGTGGTGGCTTTGGCAGGATCCATTTTAGCTTTCAAAAGGGAACAAGATTAATACCTAAAAGGAGTAATCTATAGGGGTGTGGGGATAGGGCAGGGCAGTAGGATTGAAAGGATTAATCTTAACAGAGCAGCACAGGCACGATGGGCCGAATGACCTTTTTCTGTACTGTAAAGTTTCTATCGTTCTAGGACACAGGGTTGAGAGAAACTCTATTTTCTCTTTTTGAGTCGTGCTGTAAGATTTTTAACATCCGTCTGATTGGGCCAATGGGACCTGGGTTTAATGATGCTCCAAAGGCCAAACTTCAAAGTAGAATAAAAAGCACAATTAAAATTCTAACAGTAATAAAAAATGATAGTAATCCTTGCAGTTGATTTAGCCTTATCATGGAGAAATGTCTCAAAGCGGTTCAGAGTTTTTACTGTAAAGTGTATTGACAGTGTACGTGTAGGCGAATGTGGCTCCAATTTGTGTGTTGCAATGTCCCACAAAAGGCCATGAAGTGAGCAGAGGTTTGCTAACCAGCACACCAGGTGAAACTCCCTCTGTTTTCAAATTGGGCCAAGGCCCATATGAACAGGAAATGGGAGTTCAGAGCTGGCAGTTTGTACAAAACAGCCATGAACGTGAATGAATAATTTTATCAGGAACAATGTTGGCCAGGAAGGCTGGAGATGTGATCAGAATGATCCTCACAATTGATACAGTGTCTTATTATCCATCAGAGGGATTCACAGGCTTTTACTGCGAGTGTGTGTTTTCCTAGTCAAAATGTATTTGTTGTTAAATGTTTTGAGAGGGGCTTTGAGATACCAGTGTTTTTATTTAGCTTTAATTTTAGGTCTAGTTTGTCGTTCTGGATCTTCATAAAGTAAATTTCATTACAAGTAAACAAGTTGTTCTGCTTTCCAATGAGTTGCAGCACAGCTGTTAAATTCTCCCTAGAGCTTAGTATTCCTCATGCCTTGAAAGCAGTATAGTTTGGTGCAATTCGACTCGATTCCCATTGACTTGTTTTTCTCCTGACATTGACCGTGGTGTATTATTCACAGAGCACTGAGTTTCCATTGGCATCAGCTGCCATTGCTGACGGCGGTTAGCATATTTTTATTGTGTTTCTATATTTATGTGCATGTCAGCCTGGGTTCATTTCTGAGTCAGAAGGTTGTGGCTTCAACCCCCACATCGGGGACTTTCATCATCAAGGCAGTGCTGGGGGTGTGCTACTTTGTAGTCCTTCAGATGAGATATTAAACTGAGGTCAAGTTGGATGTTAAAGATCACATCGCTATTTGAAAAGAGAAGGCGGTTGAGGCTCAATACATATGGTGTGTTGAGTTCTTCCTACCGTAATTGGATCCTCGCCATTAACCAATAAAGGTCTGAACAATCAATACAGTTTATTCTGTAACAGAAATATACTACCAGATAAGTAGTCTTGCCTGATGACCACCACTCGGCTCAGCAACCTGTAGTTCTTACTCTGTGGAGCTCAGCTTTTCTTTGTGTGTGAGTCCGTTGCATTTATACCCAGCTAGTTGGTGACCGTCTGATCTCTGCTCCCGGACAGACCATCTCCCTCTTGAGTCATCCTGCTCTTCTAACTGTTCTCACCTAGAAGTGGGCTAGTTATACCCTTTCTCCAAGTGTCCTTCCTAGGGCCCCTCTGCCCACTTCTGATACTGTTGTGTACTCAGGTTAATCAATCATTTGGCTCGGTGCCAGCGACTGAGCTCCACAAAGTCTTCCCTTTGTCCTGTCTAAGATAGGAGATTGATCAGTTTAGGGCTGTATCTGGTGCTTGTTATTTTGTTATGTGGGATCATTAGTATATTCCTTTTAAGTGAATGGTTATCTCTTATCAGTATTCTGGGATGGTACCAAGAATGGTACCAAAGACCTCTAGTTTAGTTGCTATTCTTGAGAGTTGCCTTTTGTCGCTTGGCAGGCCCTGTCAGAATCTAGCGACTTATTGCTAAGTCGAGATCCTGTGTTGATCAGTACCTTGGACCTTTATCTCTGGAGTGTTTGTTGTTATTTACCGATAAGTGGTGACCTCCTGGCCTTTTCCAAGGCTGTCTTATTACTCAAAGAAAACCAAATGTGTCTTATCTCATGAATGCCACTGTTTCCTGTACTACATTTGTTTAATGTTTCATTCTCATTAAACTACAACATCTATAATCTAACAGGTATTAGCCTTTAAGAGTCAACTGAGTAAATGACTAAATTGTAAAAGAAATATATAAGAGTACTGTCACTGACCTGCTTCATGCCTACTGCCCTTCCCGTCCCTCCAGAGGCAGTCGGATCTTCAGGATTCTGCCACCACCCCCTGGAACTTCATCCCAGAATCCCTGGACCTCACTCTCTCCTTTGCTTCTTTCAAGGCCCGTCCCATGATATTCCTCTTTGGTCGTGCTTTCTGCCACCCTCCCACCCCCTCTACCCCTTTTGTCACCCCTCTCACCAGTCAAAATAACGTGTCCCTGTTTACGCAGTCAAAACCGCTTAACATTTTGCATACCTCTATCATGCCCCCTCAACCTTATGTGCTGTAACTGTCCAAGCAGTTTACAGGGAGGATATTATGTGGCTTCAAGCATGGAGTCTGATTCCCTACTCTCCAGTGAGCTCAGCTTGTTTGACAATGAAGTATTTTATTTCAGGTTACTATAAATGGTTCTCAACATCTTGTGCGTCTTTGTCTTTCAGGTGCACTCAAGACTATCGTGGCTGCTGCACTGCTTCTGATGGCACTTTATTTCACTCTGCAAATGTTAGAAATCCGAATAGATCCAAATTTAGGAGCGATATTTGGTAAGTGGCCTTTATATGGTGTTCAGTGAGCGATGTAAAGTAATAATAATCTTTGCATTTGATACAGCACCTTTCATGTGGTAGGACATCTAAAAGAGCTTCACAGATTCACTGTAAAGTTTAGAGACTGTATTTTGTACGTGAACACGGCGGCCAGTTTGGACACAACAACATCCCACAAACAGTCATAAAGTGAGCGACCAGTTTTATCTGAGGGGTTGTCGGCCAGGACACCGGGTGAAACTCCCTTCTCGTTTCCAATAATGCCCCGGGACCTTTATTGGAAACATCCACCTGAATAGGTTTCGACGGGACCTTGGTTTAATATCACGTCTGAAGAGCAGCGCCTCCAACAACACAATGTTCTACCACCCAGTATTGCACTGGAGTGGCAGTCTAGACTGTGAGTTCAAAGTCTTGATGTGGGGCTTGAACCCACAACCTACCAATGTAGAGGTGAAAGTGCAACTGACTGATCGAGGCTGATGCATAAAATGTTAGAGCTTTTACAAAAAATGAATGTTTTTTAAAAAATCCATTTTGAGGAAGGGGGAAAGAGAGTGATGAAATCAAGAAGCTGTTTTAATCATAGTTCAGGGGACAGTGAGTCTTAAGAATTCTTGCCAGAATAGAAAAGTCAGGATGTGGTTTATGCTTATATGCGCTTTGGGACATCCTCCCGACGTGAAAAGCGCTATATCAAATGCAACGATTATTATTATTATTATATGGGGTGGAGAGAAGGTTGTGGGTTCAGGTTCCACTTCAGGACTTTGAGCTCACTGTCAAGGCTGACAGTGTTGGGGGTGGAATGTATTGTTGGTGGTGACATGAAACCAAAGCATCTGTGATTGTTCAGTGGACGTTAAAAATTCCATGGCAAAAAGAGACGAGGTGTTCTGCCAGTGTCCTGACCAACAATTTCCCAAATAAAATTGATTGTTCATTTCATGGCTGTGTGAGACATTGCTGTTTGCAAATTGTCTGCCGCATTTGCCTGCAACTACATAGTCACTGCACTTTACACTAAGTCCTATGAAGCTCTCAGACGTCCTTCTCACATGAAAGAATTATATCAAATAATATAATCTAACATACCAAACAAATTACATTTGTATATTGCCGGGAAGGATTAGGAGGGTGACCGAAGGCATGATCGAAGAAGACGGTCTTGAGAAGTAGTCAAGGGTAGAGGTGAGAGACTGTTGGATGGAGTTCCAGAGGGTGGGGGCAGAGAGGCTGAAGGCCTGCCTGCCAATAGTGGCCGGAGCCCAGAGGGAGCAGACAGATTGATAGGGGGTTAGGAGGTCACAGGTAGGTAGGAGCAAGGCCGTGCGGGGCTTTGAAGGTGAGGACCAGGATCTTCAACTGAATCCTCTGAGTGATTGGGAACCAGTGGAGCCGGGCGAGAATGGGGGTGATAGAGACGCGGAACTTAGCATGGGAAAGGACACGGGCAGCAGAGTTCTGGATGATCTGCAGCCTGTGGAGGGAGGAGTTGGGGAGAAGTTTGCGTTGTTGTGCCTGGATGTGATGAATGCGTGGATAACAGCATTTACACTTCAGTTGCCTGATCAAATGGAATATTTTATTTTACAGCCAGATCAGAAGTGGACGTGCGACGTAAGTCTTTATTTTGTCATGTCTTTGCTACTGTTAGTCAATCCAAATTCCATTGAGGCACTGCCATCATTTACTCATAGATTCACAGAAGGTACAGCTCAGAACCTATTGCTATTCAGTTATCACATGCTTATCCCTGTTACTAACTGCAGTCAAATCACCAGCTTATAACTGTAACCTGTTAATTATTGGTCTGTTGATGTCCTCTTTTGCAATTTGGATTTAATTCTTTCGCCTGACTTAGATCCATTCAAAATATAGAGCATGACTATGTAGTCTTCAGCAATTACATTCTCGTTCTGCTGCCTGTGAAATAGTTATATTTATTAAGAGCTGTACAAACCAAACGCCATTTACAGGTTTTCTGTGGATTCTTGGTATATTGTTACAGTTTTATTAAAAGACAAAGTAAGTATCAGCGCAGGTCCCAATACAATTCACAATTTGGGGTCCATGTTCATTGTGAAATAAAAAGCTTTTAAAGTCGGATAAAACCATGTTGATAAGGTAAGATTTATTCTTTCTGTTATTTGAATCTTTAATCTGAGCACTCCTTTTTTCCTCCACCCTTAGCAACAAAACCACCCAGGTATAAATGTGGACTCGCAAAGCCTTGTCCTGAGAAGCATTTTGCATTCAAAATGGCAAGTGGAGCAGCAAATGTTGTCGGACCCAAGATTTGTATAGATGACAATATGTAAGTATTGGAGGTGGACGAATGACTACCCAGCCTGGCTTGCCTCACCATGAGGAACAGCAAACCGATCTGTCACTTGGGTCAGAGATTCTTCCCACTCAGCTCCTGTTAACCCTGACGGTCCTTGCTGGTCAAGCAATGGGAAGTTTCCTTGGAAGACAGAGTAGCAGTATTCAGATTCTAATAATATCTAATAGTACCAATGCACATTCTGGAGTTTCCAAGCCATCCTGCACCTAAACACTTCAGGATTAGGTGAACAAAACGCATCCTTCAGGGAGAGGGTGCGCACTCCAAATCAGAGAAGTGGAAACCACATTTGGCGAAACACTCATTGGTTTTGTTTGGAGACTCTTAAATATTGCAATATTGCCCATCTCCGACCACACCTCTTACCTAAAGCAGCTGAACTCCACGCTTTCGGCACCTCCTGCCTTGATTTTTCTGATACTGGCTTCAATGGTCTCCCGGTGGCGTATCATTCATCAAATCCAATTAATTCAAAACTCTGCTTCCTGTAAAACACCTGTACCAAACTCTGTATCCCCTTCAATGAGTACTTGACAGGCTTCACTGGCTCACTGTTGCAGAATGGATTGATTTAAAGATCCTCACACTCGCGAACAAATCAGTTCATGCCCTGGCACCTCACTACCTCTCTAACCTACTCACACACCATTCCTCTACCCGCTCCCTTCGCTCAGCTGGCTGCGACCTCTTGCATATCCCTCGTTCCCTCTGCACCAGTGTCGTCAACCGTGCTTTCAGCCACATTGCCCTGAGACTCTGGAACGCTCTGCTTCAATCCCTCTGCCTCAAAATACCTTGCACCTTCCTTGCCTATCTTCAGATCAGACCTGAAGACTTTCCTCTTTGACGTACCTACAATCACTTACTGACTCTCACCTCAGCGTAAAACTCCGCCACTTAAACGCTCCAAGACACATGAAAACTCTATAGAAATGCAAGGTGGTGGTGTTGATAATGCAGTTTTGAAGCATTTCTACAGTGAGGCTTTTAGTCTGTGTCCAATATCTGGTCACCAACAGGTTGTACTTGCACTGCGCAGCTCTACAGATTATATAACAACAAAAGTAATTGACATTTTATACAGAGCTCTTCACACATAATAATCCTTGTACTTCATATAGCGCCTTATCATGTCTTTGCATTGTCTCAAAGCGCTTCACAGAATATACTGTAAAGTGAATTGACTATATTTTGTGGGTGAAATGAGTAGCCAATTGCATACAGTGGTGTTCCACGAACAGTCCACAAATTATTATTACAGTATGGGGTAGATGCCAAGCCTGTCCCAACATAAATGGCACTATGTAAATGTATATTTGTATTGGAGCTTATTCATAACTTGCTTTTAGATATTCATGCAATGGTCATTTCATATGTTGCAGAGTCATGAGTGGTGTCAAAAACAATGTGGGTCGAGGCATCAATATAGCCACAGTCAATGGTAAGTCAGTCAACTGAAAATAAATAATAATAATAATCCTTGCATTTGATGTAGCGCTTTATCTTGAATTCACTTAGTGTCATTTGCCTATGGCAGTGAAAGCTTTCCAGTTGGTTCCTTGCAGATTGTGTGTCTGACATCATTACTGTTCTTGCCATGGAGTTTATTCCTAGCATTTTATCTTGGTGCCTTACCACATGAAGCCATTACAAAGCTGTTTTCACAGTTCTTTTTTGTTAAGTGTAGTGACCACACATTTGTGGGCCACAACCTACAATTATGAAAAGATGTAAAAGAGACCAATTTGTGCACACCGCCATCCCACAAACAGCCAGGGAGGTGAATAAAAGAAGACAGAGAGAGTGAACAGCTTAACTTCAGAATGTCTTCAGAATTTTGGCTAGAAAATGATGCAGAGGCGTTTTCGTGCAGCAACATTCCACATACAATCGCAAAGCAAATGACAAATGTTTAGCTGCCAGGTTCATGAAAACATGAAACGACTGATCGGTTGTGCCTGGAGGATCGTTGGCAGTGGGATTGTTCACGTCCGCCTAAACAAGCACTGAAGGGATCTAAGTTTAACATCTCATCCAATGGCCAGCACCTCCAGCACTGCACTGGAGAGTCAGCCAAGAGTGTGAGTTCAAAGTCCCCAAGCTGACACTTGGACCCACAATCTTCTGACTCAAAGGCGAGAACTGGCACTAACTGAACCAGGCTGATGGCTACACATTCATTGGCCTTTGCAATATATACTGTGAGATCTATTGAATTTTAATTTTCTTTGAGACATCCTCCCAATGTGAAAGGAGCTTTGTCACATGCATTTCTTATTATTACCTGTTATGTGGGACGGTAAGTCCAGAGGTTAATAATAATCCTTGCATTTGATAAAGCGCTTTATGTTATCAAGATGTCTCAAAGCTCTTCAAACTGGATTGGTTTCATACTGTAAACTGAATTGACTGTATTTTGTGGGGCAAATGTGGCAGCCAGTTGCACGCAGATCTCCCAAAAAATAACCATGAAATGAGTGACCAATTTTATTTGGGGGATTGTTGGCTAGGATACTGAGAAAGAGAAAATCCCTTCTCTTTTCAAATAGTGGCACAGGATCTTTAACATCCACCTAAATGGACAGATGGGACCTCAGTTTTAATTCTCAACCAAAGGACGGCATCTCCCACAACGCCACAGACCTCCAGCACTGCATTGGATTGTCAGCTTAGCCTATGTGATATGAGTGGGAGCTGACTCCCACAGAAGTAAATTGAGCAAGGTCTATGTTTTTGATCGTCTGAAATGTAACTCAGTATTTTGATTGTTGGTGACTTTTCCCTGCTGTTGTGTCGTGGCAAGCGCTCCGAGACTCCACGCTGCCTGAAGCCAGTAGATAAATAGAAGTGTGTTGATGTCAATTAAAGTTCTTATTTTTCAGGTAAAACTGGTGAATTGTTAGCCACTAAGACATTTGATCTGTGGAGTGCAGGTAAGGTGCTGTTAGTTTTGAAAAATAAATATTCTACTTTGCTCAATATCAAGGACAATTTTAAAACAATGACTTCATGATCATACTTAACACTTAAATCATTTATGTTTAATTCAATTCAACTCTAATTTTTGCTGTTCTTTTTGACAACTGGATGTGTCTGACATGTGTGGAAATCCATCACTGTGCTTAACAGTATTAAGAAAATTCAGGTGTTATGTCTCTAACCTGTGGAACTCCTTCCCTCAACCCCTGAGTCTCGCCTGTTACCAGGGATATTTACATTTTTAAAATTAAATAAAATGAAATCATTACATTTGTGGGAAATTGAACCAGATATTTAATTTAAAAAAAAAAAATATTCCAGCTGTTATGAAAGCACTGTGTTATTTTTGCACTTATACATCCTGCAGGTGTTTGACTCAGTATTCTATGCAAAATGAATATTAATGAAGCGTTTGAGGAACTGGACCAACTTCATTGTTCTTTGTTCCTACCTTAGCTTGCAAAGTGTTTAGAAATTGTTGCTAGGTTTCCATTTGTTGGAGAACATGAGTTGGCAAACCTTCCTCAATGTAACTGTTACAAAAGAAACCTAAATGTTAAGACCTGGGAACCAATCACCTTCCCGAGTTATGCAGTGAATGATTTGTGGAGAATGAATGATTAGAGAAATCTATTCAATTACAGATAATATTGCCCTCTATTTACTGAGCTAAAGCAACACTTTTGGAGCCAAATAATACAGCATTTGAAGCTTTACGAGTGCTTCACTAGCGAGGGGAAAGCAACTGGGCGCTAAGATTATGTGCCTGGTAATGGATTCTTAGAATCCAGCCATCCTCTATAGCCTTCTCATTGGAACAGTTTCTGAGCCAGGAAGGTCCTCCGTACTCCTGGGCATTGCTGTTGACAGCCCACCTGGCTCATCGGCAGGACTTCCAGGTGCCATCTGGTCCCGATCTGTTGCTATTAAACCTGAAGCTAAAGGTTTTGATATGTTGGTGCTAGACAAGCAGCAGAAAGTATTTGCAATGCCAAGCTTAATAAACTCACAACAGTATTTGACAAATGACACCATGCAGTCGCCGTTCTTGGCTTTTGCAAAACATTCGGCACCAAATCATTCTTCAGGATTAGTTGAGTAGGTTGTGGTCCTCCAGGAGACATGGGTGCAATATCTTCCAGACAAAGGGAGGATCCTTTATGAATCTATTGAACTTTCAATCTAGTTCAAATAGGAAGCAAGAAATGGGTTTCCGCATGAGTAAAACGCTTGGTTGAACAAAACTAAATTTCGGTAAGCTTTATCTGCTGGCACTCTGACTTCAGTAAGGCTTATTGACAATTGCTTTTAAAATAATATGAAAGACACTGTGTTCTGGCTGTAATGAGTCTATTTTACTGTTTCAGATATCCAGCCTTTCAACGATTTCCTGAAGTCCTTAAATGATGGAACCATTGTGTTTATGGCTACATATGATGATAGTGCCACTAAGTTAGTATTATAAACACAATTCATGCTGTGACCAACTGGTCAGACTGGAAAATGGTTGTGAGTTCAATGTTTAGATTTAGACAGAAGGACTTTCAAAGGGCATTGACAACTGGGAGCAAATTATTTTCCCACATTTTTTTCACATTAAATTCAATGTTTAAAAAAATGAATATGCTTTATAGTTTATAATTTCCCTTTCTGTATTATTACACTTTACTTGCCCCCATTTCTGTTACTCCACCCCCTTGTTTTGCAATGCTGAGTTCTGTTGATACCAACGGTGTTTATTCCTGATTTTCAAAATTACGAGAATGTGTCAGTGTTTTAGATACATTCACAAACATCCTGGCTAAGGCAGTCAGATAGTGTAGTGGACGGAGCTGCAGCTTACTGGTCGGGACCTGGCTGGTTCGAATCCCAATCCATGCTGAGTTTGCCGGGATTGAGTGTGGAGACAAAATTGATCCAGAGCTTCCCAGGGATATCTGGGTTTTCTTCTCCCTCTATTGCTGTGATGGCCAACCCATGGCCTTCAATCGATATTGTGTTTCCACAATGTTGATTATGATATGAATCAAGAAATATTCAATCAAAGTTTCTTTTGTTGGCTGACCAAAAGGTTGCCCATCACTGTTCTACAGCACCCTGGTAGGGTGAGTGTGCAGCAGCCGGGTGAGGGGAGGTCAAGCTCGGCTGTCACGCCCTCTACAAAAATAGTTGGACAGCTACATTTAAAGGTTATGTTTTTAGTCAGAGCTGAGTTGACTTTCACGGCAGGAAGGATAAGGGATTTTCCTGTTCTCATTCACTTTCATCTTGCTGTAGGCTTACGGATGAATCCCGGAAGCTTGTGAGTGACCTGGGAAGTACGGCGATCTTGAGCCTTGGCTTCAGGGACAACTGGATTTTTGTGGGGGCAAAAGGAATTAAATCGAAAAGCCCGTTTGAACAGGTAAACACATTTTTTCAAAACTTCTAGCACAAAATGTATCAGAGGAGACAAGAACAACTTGTCGCCCTTCACACTTGTCGCATCTCAGAGCACTTCACAGGGACAAAGTTCCAGAAATTAGGAGTGTAGGAATGGAAGATGGTGGCACAGAGAAGGCAGGGACATGTCAAGTTAGCCGAGTGGAGGGGCAGCCAGAGGAGATCAGAGACATAAGTAGGTTCTTGGTCGTGGATAGATTTGCAGGTGAGGGTTGAGCAACTTGTAATCAATCTGCTGGGAGATGTAGAGCCAGGAAAGGACTGGGGTGCGCGGAGATTAATGCAGGTGAGGATGCAGGCGGCGGAGTTTGGATGAGGTTCAGCTTGCGAATGACAGAACGAGGGAGAGAGGAAGGGATAGCAGTTTGGGACAAGTATAAGTGGATCTACCTAAGGCAAAGAAAAGAGAAGAGAATTTCTCTCTCCCAGTGTCCTGGCCAACAGCCCCCAAATAAAATAGTCATTCACTTCCGAGTCCTAGCACTGAAAATTCAAAATCTCTTCTTTGAATTCAATGGGAAGTGGTTAAATGTTTCCAGTCGTATTTAAACAGTATAGAAGGAGGACGGAAGGCTAGCGATTCTGGAAATTGTAAACTTATATGATCTACATCCAAAATGATCTTGTGGCATCTAAACCTTTTTTTCTTCTTATGTAGCACATTAAGAATAATAAAGATACAAACAAGTATGAAGGCTGGCCGGAGGTTTTAGAAATGGAAGGATGTGTTCCTCAGAAAAAAGATTAAATAATGAACACTGGAAAATTCGGTAGCTATTTAACCTTTCCCAACTTTCGTTTTTTTTTGTGTGTGTTTCCAAATCCCTCTCTGTTCATCTTTTGGTTTGCGTTCGTTTTGTTGAGATGAAAGGGAGCCATGAAATGGGAAGTAATCAACGTGGAGGGAAATGCTCCGTGAGTCTACAAGGAGTTTTTCCTTCGTTTAAATCGTCCACCGGCCCTTATTGTTTATGACGCATTAGTCCGTACTTGGAATGGGGAAAACAAGTCTTTCTTAGTAAAGCTCCACTTCTCCACCACTTGTACCCACTTCACAAACTCTTCCATGCCAATTGCAAGGCTTCGTTATCAAATTGTTTGTAAATAAGTCGACCGCCTTCTGTTTTTCATAAAAACAGAATTATTGTAGAATGTTGAACTGTATTGCAATTTGCATCTCTGCAAACATACCGGAGATGATGGAAAATTAATTCTTTGATGCAAATTGTGACATTTAGTGTCTTAAACACAATCTTGGTGAGTTCAGAGCAAGATGAAAGCTGTTATCTTGCCACCACCTATGCACTGAGCCTACACTGTTAATTATTATTATATACTTATACTATTGCCATCCTCTCCCCTGAAAGTTTTCAAATTCTAATTGTACATTTCCATTCAAAATTATGGTATGTCTGAATGTGCAGTTAACTGACATTGGTGATCGACAAGCAACAATTGGGTTTGTTTCAGGATCGTTGTCTTGTGATTTTAAAAAAATCTTCTCATCAATTTGGGGATCAAAATGGATGCTGATGTTTGATTTGATGGCGTCTTCAAACCAAAACAATCTTCTGTTACTTCCACAGTGGAGCTTGTGCCTTTCAGCAGCTTTTACACAAAGCTTATCAATGTTAAACCCAGACGAAGATGTGAGAAGCTTTGTTCTGAGCAATAATGGACTTTTTTTAAATGAAATGATCGCAGACAAGAGTAATTTGTGGTTTCTGTTGTGTAAATAATTCCTTCATCTCATCTGTCATTTTTATATAATAAATAACTTGTGAACCCTGTGCAGGGATAAGGAGTGCACTATGCATTTTATTTTGCAATGGCATTTTTCAAATGGAAACGTGGGGCTTTTTTTGCTTCCTTTTAATTTGAATTGCGAAATTAAATATCAGCCTGCAGGAATAGTCCATCCGCTCATTTGTTTTTATGCTTGATCGAATCCTCTCCATTTTGTGAATATTTGGGAAATGTTGTGTTTTGATACAGCCGTCTTTTTTCTAATTGAAAGTCCCTATGCCTTTTCTTTGTTTTTAGCTCAGGCGTTTTGGGCCATTCAACACAAAGTGTTGCATAATGCGAATTTATGGTTGAAATATGTGTGGGTTTGAATTCAATGTACTTAAAGCATAACACAAAATTCTAAATGCAATCTATGATTATTTCATGCCACACAAAGATAAATGAATAAATAAATAAAGCTAAGATAATGGGTTCTGTGTGTCTTTCGCGTTTAAATTTACAAATCAACAGTGATTCCAAAACTTTCATAGCAACTTGCATTTATATAGCGCCCTTCATGTGGGTAGCATCTCAGAGCAATTAAACAGCGATGTGTGTGGTTTGATGCAAAGCTGGAAAGAGAGGGGAGGTGACTGAAGGCACAGTCGAAGAGGAAAGTCATCAGGTGTGATTTGAAAATGAGCAGAGGGGATTGAGGCAGGGAGTTCTAGAGGTTTGGGCATAGTGTCTGAAATCACAGCCACCAGTGGTGGAGTGGAGGGGACAATGGACTGCGGAAGATCCAAGCCAGACGAGCAAAGCAGTGAATAGTGGAGTATGAGCCTAATAATCATCCTTACACTTGCAATACCTTTCATGTCAGGAGGACATCTCAGCTCCTCCCAGGAATTCACAGTAAAGTGTAGCGACTATTTGTAGGCAAATGTAGCAGCCAGTTTGTGCAAGACAAGGTCCCACACACAGCTATGGAGTGAGTGATCGATTTTATTTGGGGGATTGTTGGCCAGGACAGCTCCCTTCTCTTTTCTAAGTGCTATAGGATCTTTAACATCCAAATGAAAGGCAGACGTGACTTCTCATTGTGAAGGATGGCACCTCCGCCAATGCAGCGCTCCCCCTAAACAGCTGAGACTGAGTTGAAAGTCCCGATGTGCGGCGTGAACCCACAATCTTCTGAATGAGAGGTAAGAGTGAGGCAGAACTGAGCCAGGCTGACACCTATTGCCTTGTTCCACTGAGAAGATGATGAAAGGGACCTTGACCTCGAGGCGATGGTCCACCCATGAGGGTAATGGTCAGGGGCCTTGCAACTATGAAGAAAAGGTGAGCTTGTTCAGTATCCTGAGCGACTGGAAGGGGAATATTCGAGTATTCCATTAACAATGCTGCTCTTGGTCTTCTGGATGGGGGAGGTGGCGGGGCTGGGAGGTGCTCGGAAGCAATATTGGTGAGTTCCAATGGTGTCTTCTACAGGTACCATGCTCCGCGTAGTGACTGGGACTTTCGGAGAAGGAGTGGATGTTGACCCCAATGGTCATGCACCAGTGAAACAAATTGCCCTCTCTCACTCTGTCTGATGCTGAGCTTGAGGTTTGCTTTAGAAATCTTGTTCAGGCGAGCCAATACAAATATTTTAGCAGTAGGTGCACTAGAGGTACAAGAAGCAGTGAACTCGACTGGTGCAGTACATATTTAAATCACATCCTTCCAGAACAGTCACCCAAGTGTCCTGTTATCAGACTATCGAGCTGCTTTTTAAATAAGTCCCAGTGTCCTGGCCTCAACCACACTTCCTGGCAACCTGTTCCAGTCAGATTACGTTACTGGGTAAAGAAAAGCTTCCTGGTATCTATCCTAAATATGCCTTCAGTTCCTACATCTATACCCTCTAATTCCCTACCTCTACCCCTCAGACTCTAACCTCTCCCAACTCCATCTACCTGTCTACCCCGACTGTCACTTCTGTCTTTATGTCCCACTTCTTTTTTTTGATCAGCTGGGTATCTGACACTCAGAAACCCATCACTGTGGGGGGGGGTGGGGGTGAGTGTGGGGGGTGTGGGGGGAGTGTGGGGGGTGGGGGAGGGGGTGAGTGGGGGGAGTGTGGGGGGTGGGGGAGGGGGGGAGTGTGGGGGAGGGGGGGAGTGTGGGGGGTGTGGGGGGGAGTGTGGGGGGTGGGGGAGGGGGGTGTGTGGGGGGGAGTGTGGGGGGAGGGGGGGAGTGTGGAGGGGGGGAGTGTGGGGGGAGTGTGGGGGAGGGGGGGAGTGTGGGGGGGGAGTGTGGGAGGGGGGGAGTGTGGGGGTGTGATAACGTGACTGCTGCACATTTGCTTATAAATGCGCAATCACTACTTTTCATAGCAGTTACCTACTTTAGGATGCTGGAGTTTCAACAGTACATTAAAACTCACAAACATATCAGTACCATAGCATTTAATATCTTATGCGAAGTTCAAGTTGCAGGCAAACTTGTATCAATTGAAAATATTTGATTTTATCAATAATCTACACTGCGAGTGCGTAATTTAATGCAGCCGGTAAGTGCACATTCAGGCACGGGTCAAGACTCTGATTCGATGCAGCTGAAAGATATGTGCGCATGTGTCGATGGGTCAGGACATCATTTCCCGTGATTCAATTCTGCCAGTAAGTGCAGGAGTAATGGAGGGTAGGGGAGCGGTGTTATGAGTTAGGAGCTGATTAATACAACTAGTGCAAAGAAATCTAAGTGGTTTTGCTAGGAAACTGAATGGACCTCATCTACATGCACAACTTAGACAATTACACGATTTATAAAGATAAGGTCTATGCCAATTTATATCAAATGCAATGAATATTATTCAGTAGGATATTTTGTTTTAAAGATGTTCACTTTTTCTCTTTCTCTCTCTCTCTCTCTCTCTCTCCCTCATATATACTATCTGTGCTTGTTCAGCTGGTTGTTAAAAATCTATGTTACTATTGGGGAAAAAATATAGGAACAGAGAAAATGTTAGACAAAAAAAAACAAGTTCGCCTTCCACCCTCCTAGCAATTGCAAGTGCCTGTCATGTCCTGAACTACTCATATACTGAATCCCACAATATCTATCTTTCAGGAGATAGACAGAGTAGTGAGTTTCTCCTGGTCTCTTGGCCAACAATCCCCCAAAATAAAACCAGTTTGCCAACAGTCCCGTAGTTCACAGTTAAATTCTATGAAGATATCTCAATGTGAAAGGTACTGCGTCACATCTAAGACAATATTATTGCAGATGTGTGTAGCAATGTAAAACCTAGTTCCTATAATCATCAGTCCAACTCGAACTGTTCATAAGACTATTCAGAAATAGCTTGACAAAATTCTTGGTGAACAAAATATCAAAATATCCTGGAAAAGGTGGTTATTTTAGGAAGCTTAAATATATTAACAAAAATGAACATCCATTCATATGGCAGTGTGGTTGGTCTGGCTGACCATCACTGAAAACCCCTTAGAAATTAGCTCTACAAAGTGATTTATAATAATAATAATAATAATCCTTGCATATGATATAGCGCTTTTCACGTCTTCTAGACGTCCCAAAGCGCTTCACAGAATATACTGTAAAGTTGAATTGACTGTATATTTGTGGGCGAACGCGGCAGTCAATTGCGCGCAGCAATGTCCCACAAACAGTCGTGGATTAAAAATGACCAATTTATTATTGTTTTTTTTTGGAGGGATTATTATTAGGCTCTGTGTGGAGTAAGGAAACTTGCCCAAGGTTTCGCCCTCTGCCTGGAATTGAACTCAGGTGAACTCACTTGCAAAGCGAGTGCTCTAACCACTGAGCTACAGGATTTAATCTGTAATAACATAAAAAGAAGAATAATTCTTGATTTGAGCTATAGCACTTTATCACATCATTGAGATGTCTCAAAGCACTCCAAAGAATATATTTTAAAGTAGATTAACTGTGTATTTGGTGGACGAAACACGGCAGCCAATTGTGTACAGCAGTGTCCCACAAACAGTCGTGGATTGAGTGACCACATTTTTTTGGGGTAGGGATTATTGCACCTAGAAAGCAATCTGCCAATTGACTAACTGCTGGGATCCTCCTTACTGCAAGGTAAACCGAGGCGTGTGGAGTTAGGAAACTTGCCCAAGGTTTCACCTCGCCTGGGAATCGAAACCGAGTTCTCTCACTTGCGAGGCGATTGCTCTAACTCCACATGTCAAGGTCTGTCAGGACACTAAACCTGTGTGTGAGTCTCATCTGTGCCTTTACTTTCTTTAAAGCTCTGAATGAAGTTCAGGGATGGAGGAAGAATTGCGGCTCTCGGATGGCAGTGTATCTGCTCCCTCCACGTGCTGGCTCAACCCTCACACCGGATTCTTTGGCACCATTAAGAACTCCCCGAGCGACTTTGTGGTGACGGAGATCAGCTTGTGCGGGTGCATGGTAAGCGATGTTCACTCTGAGAGCTGCAGAGGCGCTGAGGAAACTGACCAAGAGCCCTGTGTGCCATTCCGCAAAAGACTAAAGAAGGCAGAAGAAATTTGGGACAATGTTGGGTCAGTGGAGAGCTCTTCTGGGTGTTTAAGTCTCGGAGGTTCCGAAGGTCTCGAAGACAGTTGCAGTGAGGCTACTGGTTGTAATTCACCAGGTTCTGTCTTTCGGTCAGTGAAACTGGCTCCGGGCAGTGCCTTGGATTCCTTCCTGGACGTGGCTGTGGCTGACTCGCTGGAGAGATTTGCCCGTTTAGTTGAAGCATGGATCACACAGGAGGAGGGAGATGGGGAAGGGACGGTCTTCTCCCTCGGAGTATTTCCTGACAAAAGCCACCGAGCAGACATCCACCGTGCCGTCCGTCAAAAATACCCCTTCCTCAAGACGCTGACGATTGGGGCCGAAATCCTAGTCAAGCCGGACGGGAACTACTCCGGGCTCAGTCGCCTGCTCTCCCGGCGGGAAGCTGGTGACTTTCTCCGCTTCCTGGACTCCAGGGATAAAAATTCCACATTTACCTTCAGCCCAGATGGCAGCAAGGACCACAGGAAAGCCGTCCACCATTTTGTCAGCAAGCGCTTTGGGAAAATGGTGGAAGCAAAAAGCTTTCCAGAGCGCGGAGGCGACGGTGGCCACCAGAGGGCAGCGATTACTGTTCGATTCCGGGAGAGATTTGCTTTCGGTAAGAAACGCAGTGCAGATGATTGTCCGGAGGCACCAGCGACCTACACAGGTACGGACATCCATGGCACCAGTAAAACTCACATAGGTGGTATCAGTCGAGCCCATGACATTTAACATGATTTACGCGAAATCTGAGTTACAGGCAAACTGTGGCAGTAGTAAAAAGTCCGATTCAATCAATAATCTGTACTGCGCATGTGTAATCCAATGCAATCGGTAAGCGCGCATACAGAAATTTGCCATTGCAGCCGGTGAGTGTGCATGTGGTGACGCGTCAAGACTGTGTTTCCTGCGATTCAATGCATTTCGACCTCCCGTCACATGTGCAACTTCCCGGCAAGGGCTGGAATCGCATTGAATCGTGGTAATAGAAGTTCTTCTGCGCATGTGGCGATGCTTCAGGAGGGGAGCGATGTTACAAATTGTGAGGTGATTAATATCACTGTTGCAAAGAAATCCTTCAGTGGTTTTGATAGGAAACTGAATGGGACTTGGGCGAATGTACGATTTAGCAGATTATACAATTTATACGACTTATGTGAGCTTTACTGTATTTCTACTGAGAGTATATTTTCATGCAAGTTATAAACAGGACTGCCAGTAAAGATGGTTGAAACTAGTACACCGGGACCAGATTAAGAAACCAGAAGGGACGGTTGGGTGGGGATTCTTGAAGGATAAATGCGAGTTGTGGTTGTTTTAATAGCTCTTGTGCATCTCTCCACATAGCCTTCACACTTCGTAAGGAAAACACGGAAACCCTGGACGCTATCGGTATCCTGGCGGCAGAACTTGGTGTCGTGCCATCAGATTTCAGCTATGCCGGCATTAAAGATAAGAAGGCGGTGTCTTTCCAGACTGTGGTGGTGAAGAACGTAACACCCAGGAGGTAAGGGAAGAAGGGAATTTCTCTCTCCCGGTGTCCAGGTCAACAGCCCGCAAAATAAAATCACTCACTCACTCCACAGCTGTTTGGGGGACATTTCTGTGTGCAAATTGACTGCCACGTACACTCACAAAACATGCACTATGTCTATCATCAGAATATATTTGCAGTGAAACCTGTGAAGACCTGAGGTGTCTAGACTACATGGTAAAGCAATGTATCAAATTAAAGGTTATTAGTTCCAAGTTCAAAGTTCAGCTCCACTGGCAGCGACGGATGAGAACGCAGTTTTTGTGCAAAGTTTCATGTCTTTTCAAAGCTTCCGGTGAGCTCGGGGTTTTGCCCTGGTTACTGATCACTCTCTCATTTGGTAAAACATTTAAGACACAGACTTAACATCACTGGAGAATTGGAATCTGCTAAAAGTACTTAAACTATCATCTTCCCTCATAGGTCAGCCTGGCTCAGTGGCAGCCAATTTTCACACAGCAAACAGGCATGAAGTGAGTGACCAATTTTATTACTTGCCAGGATACCAGAAGAAATTCCTTCCTCTTTTTTGAATAGTTGCACAGGATCTTTAAGGTCGACCGGAACAGACCCAGATGGACCTCAGTTTAATGTCCCAACTGAGGACAGCACCTCCGACTATGCAGCGCTTCCCCAGCTTAGCACTGGCGCGTAATCCTGGACTGTGAGCTCAAAGTACCAATGTGGGGCTTGAAACCCCAACCTTTGACTTGGAGGCCAGTGTGCTACCGACTGAGACATTTTACACCTTCGTCCTCCAACCCCGCATCACTCGCCATCTCACTCCCTGCTCGAGATCCTAATCCTCTCTAAAGCCCTTTCAGATAGGTGAAAAGCACTGTGCAAGTCTTTGTGAAAGCCTCATTCTCACTGTACCTGCCTCTCTTTCTGCTCCAAGGTTAGATGTGAAGAAGGCGAGGCTACAGAGCAAAGGTTTGAAGGTGTATAACATCCGCCTGGCCCCTCAGCACCTGCGCCTTGGCCAACTCTGGGGAAACCATTTCAATATTGTGGTGAGAGGTGTCCGCAAGCACCAGGGGGATGATCCTGAGGCAAGTCTCTCTGATCGGGTGCTGGAAGCTATTCACAACGTCAAGGTAAAAACATCCTGCCTCTCCCACCACAATGATAGTAAGAGGGAGATATGTGAAATGTAACTAATGTAACTGGGTAGCTCAGAACAGGAGAGGCTATTTAACCAGATGGAGATCACACCCATCACCAACCATCTTCACAAGATCACATGATTATTTCAGATGAAGAAGACCCTTTGGCCCATCTGATCTCATCCCTCCAAAACACCCAACACACAAAGATTTACAGAGACTAAAAACAAAATACTGCGGATGCTGGAAATCTGAAATAAAAACAGAGGTCGTTGGCAACACGCAGCAGGTCAGGCAGCATCTATGGTGAGAGGAAAATTAGTTAACGCTTCAGGTTATGAAGTTTTATCAGAACCAGTTCTGACCGTGTGAAGATGGGTGATCAAAAGCCTCTCTTATTCCTGAGCTACCCAGTTACATTGGGTACATGTCACGTATCTGTTTTTATTTCAGACTAGCTGTACCTGTTGCAGCTACGCTTGCAACCAGTTTCATTTAATCGTCCTTCTCTCTTTCATCTGGCATTTTTATTTGTCCTTGAAAGCCTTTGCTTATTAGGCAACTTTATCCCTTAAGATTAAAAAAATGTGCTATTGAACTTGTTAGCATCCTTTGTTCACGTATTTGCACACATATCCTTCTGTGAGGACTCCTGTTGGGAGGACTCAGTGGGAGGACTCCTGTGGGAGGACTCCTGGTGGTGTCTCTAAGTCAATCGGTTAGACAGACACACAGACAGACATTTTGTCTATTAGTATAGATGTATCTCTCTAGAAGGGTGTATAACTTCTGTCGCTACTTTGTTGCAGAATACCATGCAAACCTTTTCGGGGCTTAATTAATTTATTAAGTATTTTATTATTTTTTTAATATAGCTCATCAACAATAGGAGATCCCCCAAAAAATATGCCGATGGCACTCCCCCTTGCAAGACCTTTCCAATGAGGTATAAATCATGTCTCTACGTCAATTGTTTTTGCGTTGTTGGTGAACAGACAGACCTGCAGAGAGATATTTTGTCTTTATCAGTATAGGTTTACAGAGAATGTATAGCATGGAAACAAGCTCTCTCCTTATCTAGCTTCCTCTAGAGTGCACCGACACTATCTGATTCAAACACTGCTTCAGGCAGTGAGTTCCATGAAGTAATTCCTCCTAAGTTTTTTTTTAGATCCTCCTAGTCACTGTCTTATGTTTGTGTCCCCTGGTTATGGACTTGAAACAGCCTATTTATGTTAACCTTATCGAATCATTTTATAAGTTAAAAAAATTTCTATTAGGGTCTCCTCCTCAAATACCTCTAGCGAAAACAAACCTATCCAGTCTATCCTGATAGCAGTAACCTGCCATCCAAGATATCACCTCGTAAGTCTACGTTGTACTCTTTCAATCACTGCCATATCTTTCTTATAGTGTGGAGACTTGAATTAGGCACAATACTCCAAATGTGGTCCAACCAAGACGTTCGATGAGAAGACATCTCTTCACACAAAGTGTTGAAGTGGAACACATTGCCCAGGAAATCCATAGAGGTGGAATCAATTGGTTAGTTAAAAAGGAGATGGAGAGATATTTGGGAAGTGAGGAAATAAAGACTAGGAAATGGGGACAAAACAATGTGCCTGGATCTAACATGTTGGCAGGACTGAATGTCTCCTGTGCCTTTGGCCCGGCTCGGTTGGTAGCACTCTCCCTTTAGCTCAAGATGTTGTAGTTGCCATCTCTCATAATTCAGCGCTCCACCAGCATTGCATTGAAGTGTCAGCCTAATCTGTGAGCTCAAAGTTCCATAACCTTCCGACTTAGTGGTGAGAGTGCTACCGCCTGATCCAGGCTGACACCAGCAGATCAGAGTTGGAAGAGCGGAAGGTAAACTAATGTCTATAACAATGGTGCCAAATGAATGCATGTAAGGTTTTGAAGACACAAATGTATGTTCTGTTCACCTCCAGGAAAAGGGCTTTGTGAATTTCTATGGACTGCAGCGATTTGGATTGGGGCAGAATGTTCAGGCAGATCAAATTGGTTTGGCTCTACTTAAGGAACATTTGGTAAGTGTACCCCCTTTAGGTGTTATTGGTAGCTCAAAACAATTGAGCACTAAACAATTGCTGTTCTTTTTTCTCTCTGTTAATACATTGTTGTCATTATCTAAGTGCCATATTTCAGGCCTTATATAGGCTTCTGCTGGCATTTTGTATTATTAAGCTTGTTACTTTTTCTCCTTATCATATTATTCATCTCCAACATGGCCGGGTGGCACACCTCTTTACAGATCGACAGTTGTTGTTGTAGTTACTGTATGTTACATCTCAGTGTTTAATGATTGGCATAATCTGTGTTTCAGGATGGGATTAATAGCACAGAGAGGGAAGCAAACCTGACAATGACCCTAAACCGCATATTATAAATTGTTTATTATTATGGACCCCTCTACAGTTCAGTATCAATTATGATAAAAACAA